GGAAGCAAGCACGATACCTTACGTGGTTATCTGGAATCTAGGCCCTAAATCTAGTTTTTCATGCTTTTCTTTGGGATATTGAGGCTGTTTGGACAAGATCTATGTCCTAAACGAATTAGGGTTTTAGCCAAACCCTTCAAAAAAGGTTATCAATGGATAAAGTTGAAAACTTTACCCTTATAAAGGTCATTTCTAGTAAAAAATCAAAGTATGCGCTTTAGATCTATAGAACAAGGGCTTAATCTATTAAGATGGCCAAACAGACATATGGACTCGTCGACTCCTTGAGGGAACTTGACGAGTCAGATCCTATTGTCCCTTTTCAGTTTATGGTCGAACATGACTAGTCTGTAGAGGATATTTTGGGTTTTGAGAGGGTTGAGGGCTGGAAATGGTGGCCAGAAATGAGGCCATCATGTTCTTTAAATAGGGTCACTTCAAAATATTATGGTTTACATTCTCTAGCTAGTACGCCCAACGTACCCTATGGTATGCCCAGGGTACTAGGTGGTCTCATCCTTCATCCTATGCATATAAGTACGCTGCGTGTACACATACCTACGCCCTGCATACTCATTTTCTACCCATTTCTCAATAAGGACTAAACGTGTTAAAACTTCAAATTATCATGGATTCTTCATTATAAGTCTGTTTCCAACGAACCTCATACCCACATAAAAGTGACGAGAAGCTCTACGCTTCTAGCAGCTCGTCGCAGCCTCAAGGCTTCCTCACACCCGTGTTGTAGCCCATGAACCCTAAATCACAAACGATCTGAAAAAGGATGTTACATCAGTATATATACAAACACATACAATACATGCAAGAGTTATAAAGATAGCTAGCATACTATAACTTAATCCAATGGGGCAGTATTGGTGCCTTAGACCCCCAAGTACTATAAGAAGACTCACTTCTCAATCTGAAAGATCGTTGAATAGGACACTGCTCCAAATATCAACTCTACCAGTCACCTATTCATTAAAACAAGACCAAACTTACCTTAAAATCAATACAACTAAAATGCCCCTAGGTCAAACTTGGTCAAATCCCTTGTTAAAGTTAAAGTCAAAGGCAATCGGGCCAACTCGGTGAGTACGTTAGGCTACTCAACAGGTAGGTGTTGTGTACTATGCGTTTGACCAGAGTCGAGGGGCTAACCATATATGTACGCAGCTAGCACCCTTCCTTCCCATTAAGAGCTTAATCCTTAAGCTCTTTCGTCTAAAATCCAGATTTATCCCTCAAATGATTATCTTAATCATAAAGTTTCCAACTTTATGATCTTGCATGGCTATCAAGTAATCAATACCAAAAATCCTGACTTCTTAAGTCTTTAAGACATCTTAGCTAATGCATGGAAGGAAACTAAGTTCCAAAAATACATTTTTATGGTTCCTAATAACTCTATAATAGATAAAGTTTCCAACTTTATCCATTAGAATGGTCCAAACATCCAAGATCTAGTATTTAAATCTCAAATGGACCAAAATTGCATCTTTTTCAACTTAATCCATTAAGTCCAGGTCTCCAACCTTTAGATCTGAATCAATATAATGTTTAGATGGATAAAGTTTCAAACTTTATCTAAAACAAGGTCATGGACTTTCAAGAACTAAACTCTATGCACTAAATTGACTAAAAGCTCATAACACCCAAAACTAGCTAGATCTAACAAACGCATCATCAAGATTCAAGCTTTATACCTCTAGAAGAAATATCAAGGTAACCAAGGTCTAGATCTACAAGCTCCAATGCAACCAACACTTCTCCAAAGAGCTCATTCTTCTCCAAGATGCACCAAGAACACTCCAAAGCACTTAATAACACCTTTTTTTGCTCAAAAGACTCAAACTAGGGTTAAGGCTTTCAAGGGAGGGTGTTAGAGAGGTGGAGGCTGAGAATGGAATGGGTTTGGGGCAGTTAATGGGCCTAAATAGGGATCAAACCATGAAAATAAGGTTTAGGCACTAATCGCATATACCCAACATACTCATGGTATGTCAATGTACTAAGGATACCCTAGTACGCCCAACGTACATCATGTACGCTTAACATACTAGACTAAGTCCAAAACCTTCTTAACTTCTAACGGTCATAACTTCATCGTTCCAACTCTGTTTTCGACGATCTGTATATCCACGAAAAGGTAATAAGAAGCTCTATAATCCTATCAACTCTCCTTTTCCCTAAAACCTTCTAAACTTAAATCATAATTTCATAAAAGAAGTCTAAAACATCACTTTTTCTGTTTTACCATTTGATTCCAAAACATAACCAAGGGCTTAGATCACATAACCAATATTATCAACATCCAACAGTGTCTAAACCTTATTCCATTGAAGCCCAAGTCATTTAGTTGATCTACTTATTGCTACAATCCAGAAATAAGAAACTTCTCGAAATAGGATGTTACAATAATTTTTATTTGTTTTTTTAATTTATTACAACATACTTAAAGGCACTAGGTTTTTTTTTTTTGATTTTTTTTCTTTAGATTTTTTATATTAAATATCCGTTTGAATTTTTAACGTTTAACAATTATAACACTTTAAATAAAAAGAATATTAATGATCAAAATGTTTTTAGTTCATATTTTTTTTAATTATATTATTTTTGGATTTTAAAATTTTGAATCAAATTATTTTTAATCATAGTATTTTCAATCAAATCATTTTTTAATCATATGATTTAGGATCAATAATATACTAAGTTAATTATTGTTTTTATTGAAAAAAAAATTATGGATCATTATATAACTTGAATCATTTAATTTTGAATCATAAAAGATATAATTATGAATTAGAAAATATTTGACTCTAAAGTTTTAGATCATAACAAATTAAGAATCATAAAGAAGTTGAATCAAAAAAATTTTGAATCGTAAATATTTTGAATCATCACATTTTGGATCATATTATGTTCAATATTTTTTTAAAAATTAATATTTCTTAAAATTAAAAATAAATAATAAAAACTTATTTTTGAAAAATTATTTGTACAAAGTTACTACTCTATTGAGTAGAAGTATCACTTCAATTTTTGTGGTTTGTAGAGAATTTTTTTTTATGAATTTCTTTTACCAAAAAAACTAAAAAATAATATTTTTTCAAAATTTCATAATTATGCTCATTTGTAGATAATTAAATTTTAAAAACTTTGGTTTTTTCAAAAAAAAAATTTGCAATGAAAAATAATATGGAAAAATACAAAATTTGTGGAAAAAAACCTAACGAAAATGAGAACTTCACATGTGATAGAGAGAAAAAAAAAGAATGGGGGCGGAATGGATGACACGGAGGGAAATTCTTTTTTGTTTTCAATCTTCATTTTACCCATTTAAGCTTTAAATAATTAATTTTTACCGAAAAATGTCAAAACTCACACATGATTATCAAATCGTCATATCATCTCGCGAGATATTAACGATAAATAAAATCAAATATCCAACTTTTATTTTTTCAATATTACGGTAAAGATTTGTCCTCATAGTGGTTATCTATTTTAAAGTCATCAGTTCAAGTTATATATATATATATATATATATATATATATATATATATATATATATATATATATATATATATATATATATCCGGTAAAAAAAAAAATTTGGGTAGAAATGTGAGAAGTTTTTTTCTACATACCTTTTTGACGAACAAAAGAAATGAATCAATAGATGAATAAAAAATTAACACGATTCACCAAAAAAAATCTCAAAAAAACACACCGATGATTCATTTATACAATGATTTCGTTGTTATTCAGTAATATTGTCATAAAAGTGAATTTTTTCTTAATTACTTAAAAATGAATTATGAAGATTTTTGTTTTGGGAATTTTTTCTTGTGAATCATCTTACATTTAAATCATCTAATGATTCATTTTGTATGTTCGCTAAAAAAATATGTAGAAAAAAAAACTTCTTACATTGCTACGAAAATTTTTCTTTTTATTTGATATTGATTATATATATATATATATATATATATATATATATATATATATATATATATATATATATATATATACACACACACACACTTAATGAGATATAAACTCTGAACGACTATAAGAAATATAAGTTAATGTATTTTGACAAGAATTTAATGGCTAAATAGTAAATATCCCGGTCTCAAAATTATTCTCAACAGATAAAAAACATACAAATTAAGAAAACATTAATTATCATTTATTTAATTAAATGAAATGACAATTATAGGCTTTTATTGCATTTAATTTTATTGTAATTGCATTTAATTTCATTGTTGTTTAATTAATAATAAATGATATATTAATAAAAATGATATTTATTTTTAGAACGGACAATTATTTTCGAAAATAGATTTTCTAATATGTGCCTAAAGATATATTAATTACGAAAAATATCATCATAATTAAATTCAAAATACATTTATTATGAAAATTATTTATGCGTTTTAATTATGATAATATTCTTTATAATTAATATATTTTACATTTAATTATGGTAATATTTATCGTTAATTAATGCTACTTATATATGCTGTACATATTAGAAAATCCTTTAAAAAAATAAAAAAAATAAACATGGAGTATTAATTTGGAACCGACAAAAAACTAAGAAAGCTAAGCTAAGTATATATCTTATCACCAACCTGTCTTTCCTTAAGGTCGCAGTGGATACAAAATGACCATTTATAATAAATTTTACCTACAAATAACAGCACAATTCAGATCGTACTAAATTTATCATAAAAATTGATTATCTATAATTTAAAATAGCAATCATTTGAGTTATATTTTGAGTGGAATAAAAAGTAAATAAGAAAAGAAGCAGGAGCATGTCACTTTAACTTAACACTACAACCTAACGCTTCCGCCTTTAAATACCGCTCCTCTCCTCCTCCCACACCGCAGTATCAAAAACCATCATCTCTCTCTCTCTCTCTCTCTCTCTCTCTCTCTCTCTCTCTCTCTGAATCTCTCTCACACATCGGAAAACTTTAAAATCAACAGAAATGGAACAAAATTTACCAGTTGTGGCAAGAAAGTTATGGAGCTTGGTACGTGTGCTCTTCATGCTCAGGAAGAACATATCAAAGAGAAAACTTTTGCTCGATCTCAACATGATGATGAAGCATGGCAAAGTCGCCGGCAAGGCCTTACAGAACCTCATGCTCCACCACCACCGTAACTGGTCCTCCTCCGCCTTCAACCGCCGCTCACAGTCACACGACTCATCCAACTTCACCTTCCCTCCCCCACAAACCGACGAGTACGAATTCAGCTGCACCAACAGCCCAGCCTACCCAGTACTCTCTCTCTTATCCACCAACAAGAAACCGAAACACCATTACAAAAAGTCATCAGCAAAGAAGTCCACCGCAGAGAACAACAACCACGAAGATATAATCATCGATGCAGCGGTTATCAAAGTCCTGCATGAGATGTTGACCAGCGCCACCGCATCTCCGGCGCTTCCTGGATTTGGGAAAAGTCCGATGGTTAGGCAGTTGAGGGTAACGGACTCACCGTTTCCGTTAAGTAACGGGGATGAGGATAGCTACGTGGATGAGGCTGCTGAGAAATTCATAATGAAGTTTTATAACAATTTGAGGCGGCAAACTTAAAAACCAGGGTGTAAAATGTAAATGTTGAATTTATCAGGGGGTTACTGTGCACTATATCTTGTGCTGTTGTGTGTTTGTTGTTGCAGCCAGTGTATCTGTTTGAAGCTTCTCTGATAATTGAGGCCAAATGTATCTCTATGTATTTTAGTTATTAGTATTTTACAGAAATAAGTTAATATATATACTTAATTTGAAACCTTTGTTTTCGTGGTGTTAAATTCTAATTTCTACTTTTTAATTTTTATATTTAAATAATTGACATATGAGTTTTTAACTTCGATTCAGTTTGCAGCAAAAATCTTGATTCAGTTCATGCACGTGCAAGTACAAATTAGGAATAAGTCAACTTGGGAATATGTTTTTACCAAAATATTTCAACCTTTTCTAATAATTAGAATATGCAATGAGGAATAAAATCGGCATCTTGGCAGGATATAAGTTTTTTTTTTTTTTTTTTTTTTTTGACTGCCAGATCTAGGCTTTGAATATCTGAATTTTTAAGATGTCGTAACTTTGAGTATATGAATTTTTAAGATGTCACTATATACATACATATATAGTGAGAGGTAGGCCTTCATAAGAAATAGTAAGAGAATAGGAAAAAGTTTACTTTTGGAACATGTTTTTTTATTCAAATACAAATTCTTCTCATAAAAATAAAATAAAATAAACCGCAAAGCAGTTAAGAAACAAAAAAAAATGTTATCAAAATGTTCTGATTTGATTTTTAATTGAAAAAATAAAAGATTTCCAATCAACTTATTTTTAGAGAGTAAGAATTCATTTCTTTTCAACCCATTCAACCCAAAGGGTCACATCAATATTTCTATCTTCTCTTTCTTCTATTTTTTTAATACATAACACATGAAAATCTTATATTTCCAAACCATACAACCTCCTTAATTTTTTATTTTAAAATAAACACCAACTAATAAAAATTATACAAAACTAATTTACATAATATTAAAAAAAGAAAATTAATTTAAAAACTAATTAAATAACATACAAAATTGATTTGGTACAAGTTTTGATGCATAATATACAAGTGATTATTGCATGAGTTCAAAAATTATATATACGTTTAAGTGAAGCGGCATATGTAACCCAATCAACCCAAAATTATCAACCCGCCCAAGAAGATTTCATATCTTGGAGGTACTGCCGGTACCTCCCATAAAATATTGCATGATACCCTCCTCGCTTAAACAAAGAAATAAAACTCAGCATAAAATAATTTATGTATTATTTTATTAGTTAAGTCATATGAGTAATTTTGCGAGACTATTTATCCATCAATAAACCAACTCAAATTTCTATTAACAATTATTATATAGAGCATTCACAATTAAAAATAAGAAAAAAAACATTATAATGGTCCTTATGTTTTTAAAAATCTGAAATATAATCCCTAATAATAAAAAAATCTCCAAATGATTTTTTGTGTTTTTAAAATTGTTAACATAAAGATATTTATTGTTCACTCCGTCAAATTTAGTCTGTTAGCTGAAGACATTTCGATCATTTTAAACTACCACAGGAACCATTTATGAATTCTTTTTATTATATATATATATATATATATATATATATATATATATATATATATATATATATATGTAGGGTTAGATTATTTTGTTTTTACTAAGTATTGTGTGCCAGAATGCACAGATCTGGACCAACGGATGAAATTAATCAATGGACATGATTTGAGAGTGTATGATATTACAATGAGGTAACATGTACCATATAATCACACAATTTTTAACAAAAGGGTATTTTGGACAAATAACTACATTTATAAAAGGAAATTTTCGGATTTTTAGGGATGATTAATTCTCCTAATTTAAAAAAAAAATTGAATTTTTTAATTAATTCAATTTAAATTTTACCGATTTTATTCTACCAGAATATTTTTTGTTATAATGATACTCTTTCAGAATTTTATTATAATAGAATATTATTGATAAAAAACAAAATTCTTGAATCATATATTGAAAAATAACAAACATTCTAATATATTCTTATACATCCGACCTTAAATACAAATTCATACATATTCTTACAGACTAAAAAATTCTTATACATTTTAATATATTCAACAAAAATGAATAACATTTTTAAAAAATAACAGCATTCTGCTAGAATACTCTCGTTCTCCATGTTTTCTTCATTTTCCACATCAATGGCAGCCCCTTCAAAGCCTAAATCCAAAAAAAAAAAACATAATCAACTTTAAAATAGTATAACTTTCAGTATATTCTAACAGAATAAAACTATAATTCTAACAGAATGTGTTAGACATTAAAGACTTTCAATTTATTCTAACAGAATGTACTCGAGTCACTTGATCAAGTATTCCCCGAGTCACCTGATCCAAATTATCGACATAATGTAATTACAATGACTACATTGTAGCTAACACAGAGGACAATACTTTGGAAAAAGGTCAACTTATTACAAGTTAGAATGTGGTAAATATGACAATTCAAATATCACAAATGTTTCTGAACAAAGAGTGCTAAAAATACAGCTGTAACATTGCATGTTCGAAGGACTATAACTAAACCAGTATTAATCAAATTTAAATGACTTCTGAACCTAACTTGGAGCTAACACAAAGGAGAATATGCAGAAACAAATTTTATATCATTCCAAGCATTTTAACAAACATTTAGCGGGCAAATCAGATATTAAAAAAAAAAAATGGTTGAATTATTTGATTCAAGCATTTTAACAAACATTTAGCGGGCAAATCAGATGCACAAATCTTTATTTAAATCATCGTAGTCATAACTCATATCAAGAATCAATTAGTTGTAACTTGTACGAATTCTAAGTAGTTAACAACCATTACCAAACGCTCGTTCATGTGCTTCGTAGATTCAATTTCATAAAAAGCCCAAAAGCTTAAAAAAAAATAAAAAGAAGGAAGATTGATTACACATGATTACCATTACAGACTGTTATTGCCTGAGAAGATGGGGAATTAAGCATCAAAAGCGATGATGAAGGGAGAACAGTTCTTCCATGACTTCTGGGATGGTCAACCGAAGATGATGATGGAGAACTCGAAGATGAAGTGAACTGATTTGAACAGCTCCTTAGTTTCGTTTTAATTTCTGCTTCTGGGATGATCAACTGAAGACCACGACTTTAAACCCTAGAAAAATCAATTGCCTTGCTGTTACTAATCCAGAGAGTTCGGCGGGTGTAGACGATGATTTTTAGAGAAAAGGGGGAATCGGTGGTCTAATTTAAGGGATTTGATCCATGAATCAAGGGATTTAATTTTGGTTATTATTTACTTTATATACAAAATTACATATCTAGCATTATCTTGATTATTTAAGAATTAATTTTTTCCTGAATTCCTATTGGTGCATTTATGCACACAATAGTTGTCAAAAACATTTGAACCTATCCCTCTCTCTCTCTCTCTCTCTCCCTCTCTCTCTCTCTCTCTCTCTATATATATATATATATATATATATATATATATATATATATTGACTTCTTGTTTTAATAAATTTCTTAATTTTTTGACGCCTTATTCGAATAGATGTATTAATGATTTTTTTTTTTTATGTTTTAGTAGAATAATTTTTTTAATGTTTTGTTCGAATATATTTTTAACATTTTTAATATATTTTTTTTACGTTTTGTTTTTTTATAGAGAATTGAGTAATCTAACCATTTTTGTATTGTAATTTATTTTTTCACAATAATTTTTTTTTAAATAACCATTTAGTCTGGAATTCATACATTTCAAACTATGTTACTAAACATGTTAGATTTGATCCAATATTGTGGTCCCCCTATCAAAAACTCTCATTTGGTACTATGTTAGGATTTCTCTATTTCAGGCTACTCTAAATTCGAAAAATATTTTCTACCGATGAAAAACTCCAACATTTATGGGTATATGTCAATTTTTTGTATGATTATAAGTTCAAAATAAATTTGAACTATTTTTTGTTTGATTATATGTAATTAATTAGAAACAATTCGTTTTTATTCAGAGATTAATTTTGATTAATTAAAATTATCTTTTTAGTCTAGTACAGATTGTAAATAATTCGTTTTGCTTCAATTTTTTATAATTATATGTGATTAATTCCAGTTAAGTACAATTAACCATTTAAATCGAAACAAAACGAATTATTTTCAAATGATCACATATAATCAAACAAAAAACAATTCAACTTTATTTCGAACATATAATCATACAAACAATTGACACATATTTGTAAATGTTGGGACTCTTCACTGGTAAAAGATATTTTTCAAAGTTGGAGTAGCCTGGAACGGAGAAGTCCAAAACATAGTATGAAATTGATATCTTGGACTGGGAAACCATAATACCGAACCGGATTGAACATAATACGGCTCAAAATGTATATATTGTTGATTTAGTGGTTAATTAGAAAAATGGTTATTTTTTATAAAATACAATTAAAAAATTGGTTAGATCACTCAGTTTCCCTATAAAAGACAAAATATAAAATAAACATTAAAAATGTATTCGAAAAAAAAAACATCAAAAGAATTATTTGAACAAAACATAAAAAAAAAATCAATAAATGCACTCGAATAAAATGTCAAAATATTAGGAAATTTATTTGAACAAAAACATCAACAAATATAAACGAAAAAAAAAACATATAAAAAAAATTAAACAATATATTTTAACAAAACATCAAAAACAAATAATTCATAAAAAATATAAATAAAATTAAATAAAAAGATAATAAATAATAGACAAAATTACATAAATGTTATGTGTGGCTTGAAGAAATTACATAAAGGGTCCCTATGACCGGAAGGACATGTCATTTCACAAATGACTTAACTAGAAAAGTTTACGCCCTTTGTTAAAATAACCATTTTTGCAATAGTTTGAAACCACAATGATAATCTATGCAAACAATTCATCATAAAGATTAAAGTTGATTTATTTTGTTAACCATAAGGATCATTTATGTAATTTTGTCTAAAAAGGTTTTATTATTTAACCTATCAGATGTACTCTCTAAGGAGGCGAAGAGTCATACGAGAGACATCGGAGAATGAGTGGAGGTTTGCCGGAGGAAAACACAGAAGATGAAACATACAACTTCCTTTTATGTATCTAATATCCAACATGACACTACCACAACTATGTTGAGTGAAGCGTTTTGAAAATATGGGAGGATTGTTGACATCTATATTCTTGGAAGGAAAGATAAAGCAGGATCTTTTTTTTTTGCGTTCGTGAAGTATGATGGAGTCAAAGATGTCCAGGTAATGTTAAACTCGCTAAATCAAGTTAGGTGTGGTCAATGTATGGTGAAGGTTAATGTCGCTAGATATGAAAAGAAAAGCAACAAGTCCCGAGCTCAACCATTTCATAACACCTGCCCTCCACAACCCCCTGACACTAGGGGTTGGAATAAAACAATGGCTGGTAGGTCTTTTGTCGATTCTGTTATTGGCAGGAGGGAAGAACCTGCAATCTCACTGGTGATCCTTAAACGTGTCTTTGTCATGGAATCTGATTCTCTTGTCATGGGTGAGGTAAAAAACTTTCAACATCTCAGTAACCTTCCAAAGCTACTCAATGCTGATGGTAAGTTACCATGTCAAGTGTTCTACGCTGGCAGCTTGAGAGTAATTATGAAATTCTCTGTTCACAACGCGGCGACTGTATATCTACAGAATGAGCACACCGGGAACAGATGGTTCAAATGGCTCAAACCTGGCATTGTGGAGGAATTTCCTTTTGAGAGAATTGCTTGGGTCAATTTCATTTGCCTCCCCATTCATCTGAGATTTGAAGAAAACGTGAACTTGATTGCTAGTAAAATTGACAAAGTCATTGAAACCGAGAGTAGTCAGAATTGGCACAGCATTGACCTCACGACTCCTCATGTACGAATCATAACTGAAGCGAAAACACTATTAAATTTGGAGATTAATTGCAGATTCAATGGTAAGAACTTTATTGTGGGTGTGATGGAAAGAGAAGATATCTGGCAACCGTTCTCCAAATATTATGAGTATGAGTCGGAACCAGAGTGAGAGAATGGAAAGAGAAGGTATTTCTGAAACCTGGGATTATGCAAATCATCAGGACATCGAAGAAGGGGAAATTATTTTGGATTCTAAGATGAAGATAAAAATAGGATCTGGAGGTGTTGCCCGCGTCTCTTCGTCGCCGATGGAACCTGAGATGACGAAGATTCCTGATGGTCAAACTCCAAAATTAATTACGGAATTCAATATGCCTTGACGTGAGTATGGAGCAGTTAATAGTGGGAATCCTAAAGATGGCTTTAATGTCGAAAATAATAACCTATCGACTTTCATTGACATCTCGAACTCCATAAATAATGATGGTAGGCCCACTTCACTTGGTGAATTTAATATAAACTCTTTACCCCAATCTCCCTTTGGCCCATTAATACAGAATTCGGCTCCAAATAATTATAAGAGTGCTTCCAGCAATTGTGGAGCTTCTAAATAAAAAAAACGGAAGATTGATATTTTAGGTCGCTCAGATTTCTCTCACTCACTTCCTGCTCGAAGTCTTCTACCTGATTTTTGTGAACCTCCTCACCCATCATCTCTTCCCACGTATCCTCCCAACCCTCAATTATCGAACTCGTATGCCCCCTCTTTTTACTTAAACGTGTATGCAAAATCTTCATCTTTTGTTGATGTGGATGAATGCTCTTCATCCAACGATATTGGGAAAATCATATAGGTAGGAAATGATGTGGGATTCCAGATTACTGCTGAAAATGTTGGCATCTTGGATGCAAATGACCCCAATGTGGTCGAAGGATCTCTGGTTACAAACAGTATTCAATGAATGCCCTAAGTCTAAACATAAGGGGGATAGGTGAATCCTATAAGGTGGAATGGATTAGAAAGCTCAAGCATGTGCATCAGATTGATTTTATTAGGATTCAAGAAATAAGAGTCATGGATTTTAATGGAATCGATTTTGCTGGTTGTTTGGGGTCTACACAATTTGACTTTGATGCAGTAAATCCTACTGGTAGATCAGGTGGTCTAGCTTTCATTTGGGATCCATATATTTTTTTCTAAACTCAATAATATCAAAACAAGGAACTACATCGTGATCTCTGGTCATTGGAAAGGTGTACCAGGTGTGACTACATTGGTGAACATTTATAGACCTCAATCCACCATAGAGAAACGAGCACTTTGGTCTGAACTCACATCCTTGAAAAATGAGAATGCAGAAACTTGGATATTTCTTGGTGATTTTAATGTAGATTTGCGCATGAAAGGTTCAACTCCATTTTTTGCAGATTATCAGCTAGAGATTTCAATCGATTCATCGTCGATGCAGGCTTGCATGAATTCAATATGGGAGGTTTGAAATTCACGTATATGCGTGACGATGGCCACAAATTGAGTAAAATTGATCAGTTCCTTGTTTGTTCAAACTTCATTAATTTACAGCCACTCACTTGTGTCACTGCATTGTCTTGGGAATATTCTGATCACTCTCCCCTTATTCTAAAACCTTCAGCCGGTTATTTTGGCCTCCCCCATTCCGACTATTTAACTCTTGGTTGCTAAATGACGATTTCAATGTGTTGTTCAAAAGTTCATGTGCATCCTTTTAGGGTTTTGGCACTCCAGATCGTCTCCTCGCTACAAATCTCAAATTCGTTAAAAATGTCATTTGAGGTTGGAGCAAGAAAAAATTTAGTAATGAACATTGAACTTTATTTCAACTTAAAAGATAGGTGGACATCATGGACTCGATTGCTGAATCCCGAGTACTTACTGATGTAGAATGATTGTCAAGACAGGAAGATATGCATAAAATTATGGAGCTTGAGCGTTGTGTGAAACTTGATCTTCAACAGAACACCAAAATCAAATTCGGTCATTGATGGTGATGAAAATTCTCGGTTCTTTCACGGTAGCCTCAAACATAAGAAACGAAAAAAATAGAATTCATGGCCTCAACATTAAAGGTGAATGGAACACAGATTCGCTGACAATTAAATATGAAATTTTCAACTTCTTTGTTGACAAATTTCGTGAGCGTTGGCCAATCATCCTTTCTTGAATCGAAGTTCTCTATTGAAGAGATCAAATCTGTTGTCTGGCATTGTGGTGGGGATAAGGCACCTGGACCTAATGGGTACACCTTCAAGATCCTAAAAGCAAATTGGGATTCGATTGGGAAGGATATAATTCGTTTTGTCAAATACTTCGAATCCACAGGATCTCTTGCTGAAGGTTGTAACTCATCAAACATCACTCTTATCCCAAAGGTGTCTGATCCATTAACCCTCAGACTGAAAAACTTATCTCGTATCCTGAAATGTTTTCATATTTCTTCAGGGCTAAAAGTTAAGTTCTTCAAATCATGTTTATTTGGTGTGGGAGTAACAAAGGCAACATTGTGTGATACTGCTCAGGTTCTTGGTTGTTTACATGGAGAATTTCCATTTTCTTATTTGGGGATCCCGGTTGGTGCTAACATGGCTTTGAAGAAGAACTGGATGCTTGTTCTAGATAAAATATCATCTAAATTATCAAGTTGGAAGGCCACTTCATTGTCATTTGGTGGCCGCCTCACCCTTATTAAAACTGTCCTGGACAGCCTCCCTACATATTACATGTCCCTCTTTAAAGCTCCATTGGGAATCATTAAGCAACTTGATAAGATCAGAAGGAGATTCTTATGGGGAGGCAGTGAGCTGAAAAAGAAAATTCACTGGGTTGAGTGGTCTAAAGTTATTGCGCCAAAATCGGAAGGGGGTTTAGGTGTTGGTTCGTTATTCGCTCAAAACATTTCCCTATTAATCAAATGGTGGTGGAGAATTATGAATGACAAAGGAAGTTTATAGAAAGGTGTTATCGTGAGCATACACAATTTGTACAACAAAGCGGCATCGTACATCGCGAGAAAAACATCAAATGGAGTTTGGTGTAATATTCCAAGGCTATTAGAGCTCTTGATAGTTTGTATATTGATTGCAAGGATATTTTTGCCCTTATCCCAGGTTCGGATGTCAACATCTTATTCTGAAAAGATTCTTGGTGCAGTAACATTCCATTTCACCTCAGATTCCCTCACTTATATTCAATCGAAACAGTTAAAAACTATTTATTGGGAGATAGAATTTCGAGCAATGGCTATTCATGGATATGGAGATTTGAACCAACTGGTTCAGAAGAATTAAACGAACTGGTACAACTATATACGGATATTGGTAACCTGAATAGCAAGCAAAAATCCAAATTTCGGTTCAGGTTGTCTCTTAATCCTAATGGTGAATATATTGTGAATTCAATGAGGAAATTATTGGAGTCTAAACTGAATCCTTTTAAAGAGGTGGCAATTTGGTGGTCAAAGATAATTCATCAGAAGGTGTGATGTTTCATGTGGAGGTCGGTGTTAGGGAGAATACTCGTGGCTGAAACCTTGGCTGTTAGGGGGATAAATACGTCCAGTACCTTATGCTGTCTCTGTAACACAGAAACTGAAACGACCGATCATTTGCTCATTACTTATGGCTATTCTAGAGTGGTGCAACATTGGATATTCAAATGGTGTAGATTGGAAGACATTATGTTCTCAAATATTCGAGAATTCGTTGACTTCGCGGCTACTTGGGGAAACTGTCCTAGAAAAAAAAATGAGATCTTAACTCCAGTGTTCTATTGCCTTGTTTGGAACATTTGGCTATCCAGGAATGACAAGATTTTCAAACATATTGGTGCAAATCCTACAAAAATCGCTGATAATATAATTTCACTCTCGTACATATGATACAAGCATCGATGTGGCACTAGTTGTGGTAATTGGGTTGAATGGAGCGTTTCGCCTTTCACTCATTTTTCATCTTAATTTTAATGTTTGCTCTGTTATTCCTATTTCCTTTTTATGTTTGTACTTTGTCTCTTTGTAGCTTCTTGTTATGAGAGTGCCTCTTTTAATGATATTTGCTTTCTCTAAAAAAAGTCAAAAATAAGCACGTGATTATTTTTTTTGAATCTCATATTTACATAATTCAGTAATTTTCTAAAGCCCATGATAAAACATTTCTCGAGTTGCTAGAAACACGAGGGACATTATTACTGGTAGGGAAGTCCACGTCAACTTAATTATGTTGTATATCTTCTGAGTAATACTTTAATACTTTTAGATTGACCCTGTATATATATTTTTTCTAATGGATATACATATTTGTTATTCCTTCTCTAATCGTATTCTAATGGATATATACTTTAATACTTTTAGTTGGTTAATTAATTATAAGTATTGTTTGCTTTTTGCGAGTACTTGAAGTTAGACGACGTTTGATTGGCTGACCGGATACTTGAGCAGGGCGGCGCTCTGAAATCTGAATCTAAGTTTGGTTTGTTATCAATTTGGTCCTTATAGTTTCATTTCATTTTCAAAATGATCCTAAGAAACCTCTTACTAGCTACCAAAATCTTTTGTCCTAATTAAATCATTTAAGAAGTGGTATTTTTTTATTGCAAGAATATTTCTGACTTTAATGTAAAATAGATATATAGTTTTATTAAATTATATGCAACTAGCTATAGGGTAGATCTAATTTCGAAAAATACAAGTATATAACTAATGAAGAGGTAAAGCATATTAATCAACTCATATGCAAGTTGGCATTATGCATGACTTTCGAAAATAGAATTATCAAAAGCTTCATAAAGGTTACACAAAGTTATACATAGATAATTATATATCATAAGTTGTTTAGTGATGTACTTTATGTTTTATGCTATTATTATCTCATCGACTATAATTATCAGTCCCTGTTATGGGAACTTAGTCATGGATTTACAAGTTTCTACATAGGAGTTTCATGTTTCAAACATTGACAAACACAAAATATTAATAATGCTCCTTGATCTATATACATCTCATCGTCATTGGAAATGTTCAATATAAACAGTACAGATGCTGATGCAGGGGTGTCTCATTGATTTTGAGGCCCTGTGCGAAAAATAAAATCGAACCCCTCCTTTAATGTATAAACAATTTTCATTAATACTATGATAAATCGATAATTGTTAGAAACAACACTGTCCATCAACTCTTCATATAAATACTCATAAATATGTTGTTCTTAATAGATATCATTTCCAAGCTATTAAATATTTATTGTATAACTGTGGACTGTAAGTAGGATTTTAACAACTTTAAAATTAAAAAAATTGGTTTCTATAGATGCCAGAATAGTAATCATGATTTTATATACGTTAACTGCA